TGTGGTGGTCTAGTAAAAGGTGTCCAATTTCTGCCAGTCAAGCAGTGAATCTAATGGTGTGATGAGCTTGCATCTATGGCAGGAAAATAAAGCAGTGAATAAGTGCATGAGCTAACCATGTGGACACGTTAGAATCAGGGTCAGCCTGGCTCGGTTGATAGCACTCGATTCTTGAGTCAGAAGGTTGTGAATTCAAGTCCCACTTCAGGACTTTGAACTCATAGGTTAGGTTGATACTCAAATGTGGTGTTGTGTGGAAATTGATTGCCACATTTGCTTACACAGTCACTATAGTTTGCAGTGGAGACGTTAGGGGCACTGCATAAAATGCAAGGACTATTATTATCCTAACATAACACTTCCTATGCTGATCTGTGCTTCTAGTCCAGCCTCTGTTTCACCTTATGTGCACAAAACTCTCAACAGGGAAAATGCTTAAAGATGCCTCGTCACCCACACAAATAAGTTCTGTTTTAAACTACGTCAACTACAAAATAGGTTTGGCGGATTTTCGCCTAGAGTGACATCTGACTGTCAGGTGATTTCACTTCTGCTACGGCCTCTGTTGCTGCCTTCATGACCAGGAGCAATGGGTGGGGAGGGGAGGCAAAAGCAAACTGGCAAAACAAAGCTGATGGTGCTCTTGCTATTATCTGTGCCCAGGGTAGTCCTCTATTGGAGTGGCCTTTCAATAGACCCAGTATCTGACAGGGCTAATCAGGAGACGACTTGGCACTTAACCCAGTGGGGAACAAGGCTCTTGTTGATCCAGTGGGTGCTAAACTACTCAGCCTTGAATATCAGCAGGTCTTGAATTGCGAACGTTTCAAAATGTAAAGAAGCCAAATGCAAACTACTCTACTCCTCATTAAAAAAAAATGGGTTTTGTTGAAATTAGCTGAGGTGCTGACTGTGAATCAAAGAGGCTTGAAATTTCGCTAGGCCCACCCCTGAATTTGATTGGAAAGTCACCTTTTGAAAGTCCTCTCACTCATCTACAAATCCTTTCATTCCTTGTCACCTCCGGACCATTCTGACCTGCTTTCTCCCCCACTCCCCCTCCCTCTGGCCTCCTGCTTTTCCCCCGTCCCCTCCACCATCAACAACCACGCTTTTAGCCACTAAGCTCCGAAGTTTTGGAACTCTCTCCTCCAATCCCTCCGCCTTGCCCCCTTTCTTCCCATCTTTTAGATCACGAGTGAAGACCTTCTTTTTCGATGATATTTATGGTCACCTCCTCCCTCCTCTAGCTTGGTGTTAGTCCATTGTTAAACACTCCGAGAAGCTGCCCACATGAAGGGAGCTATATAAATGCAAGTTGTTGTTGATGTCTTAAGAAATGCAGGAACCAAATACAAATAAAGAATAAAGTCAAGAACCTTCTACAATTCTGAGCAATCCTAACTAAATTATAGCCTAAGACTGGGTGGAATCTTTCGTCTTAAAATGGGATGAGGAGAGAGGCATTACACTGTACTTAATCTAAATTAGATTACAGTATAAAATGAAGGCAAGTACTTCCATTACAACTATCTACACAATTAATATCGATAAATATTTAATGTACTTGAGGAAGGGATCTTTTCAAAAGCCAATGAGTTAAGCCTTCCTATTTAAGTGCACTGCACTCTTACTAGAATGTAGTCCTCAGAAGGAATGCATTTTCTGCGTTCTGCTTTACACCGAACATCCCATAACATTATAAAATGTTATACAAAAAGTCAGACACTAAGGTCCAGTAGTCATATAAGACAGACAGCAATATAACATAGAGCTTTATAATGAATGCTGGCTGTATAATGCATGCCTTGCCTGTTGACTCTTCTGAAAAGTTTCCCTTTCCCCCTGAGGAATGAATTCCAGTTGACAACCCAAGCAGAATGCAAATGGTGAGTGCCTGGAGTGCTTATGTTACCAGGAACTGTACTGCATTGCATGATTCCACAGGTAAATGTTGATCCATCCCTGGTTGGTGTGCAATTGGCTGGCGCGTTTCACCCACAAAATATGTCATAGAATGTGTTCACATAGGTCTAACATGCAAGACAGCTTCACACATGGTTTGCCAAATTCACACAATACATTCCGATAATCCTGATTCCCTAACTGATGTAAAAGTAAAAGCTACCCGAAAAACAAAAGTAGACATCTCAGTCATCATGGACTGCTGTCAATCACTGCTGAAACCCCTCAGGCTAACAGTTTAGTAGAAATAGCCTCAACAACATTCATTGCTACCAATGGGGTCAGTATCTACAAAATGAATTGAACAGGACAATGCATCAGGAGTTGTTTGGCAGAAAAACGCTCTTAAAACAAGAATAGTGTCAAGGGACTTCCTGTAGCAAAGTAACCCAGCCAGACTTTACATTTTACAAGTACAGTAAAGTCGAACTCACTGATGGAAGAGGAATTTTTTGGTATTATTTTATACTCACACTATAGCCTGTGGGTAAGATATATGCACAGACAAAATAGGAGGCTTATAGGTTTTGACCATAACCAGTAATTAGCAGCGTTATCAAATGTGATGCTGCAGAGAGCAGTAAACACATAGCTTTTGGACAATATTTCGAAAGTTAATAATAATAATCATGCTTGCATTTGATAGAGCGTCTTCGAGACGTCTCAAAGAGATTCACAAAATATACTGTAAAGTGAATTGACTATATTTTGTGGGCGAAACACAGCAGACATGGATTGAGTGAACACAGCAGCCATGGATTTATTTTAAGTTTTTTGAAGGAAATATTATCCCCAGAAAAGCGATCCACTGATCGACTAACAACCGGGTTCCTACTTACTGTTAGGTAAACAGAGAAGTGTGGAGTAAGGAAACTGGCCCAGCGTTTTGTCCTGTCGGGAATCGAACCCAGGTCTCTCGCTTGCGAGGCGAGTGCTCTAACCACTGAGCTACAGGACTATTTGAGGCTTACTCAAACAAGGTGATACAATCAACTGCTGAAACACTGATATAATGAGATCACAAGCAGCACTGCAACCCTTTAGCTTGAGAGAGGGCGAGCCATGAAGGCAGTCCGAGGCAAAAAGCATGAAACAATCAGTTCTCTCCATTGTTTCTTAAGGATCTCTAGTGTTTTGTCAGTTTCAGTCTCATTTCAGTCCTCTAGTTAGGACATGGGTCGCTTTTCATTTTAGCCATTCATTTTGGTCATACCTTTTAATTATTTTGTAAGCCTCATATAACGAAAGTCATTAATAAATCGAATGGCCATTTTTGTTTATCAGTCCTTAGCGAAGGTCAATAACACCAATCCAGACAGAATGAATACTTGTAGACTTTACAGAAGCACTCGAGGTAAACAAAAACAGTAGGAATCCAATGAGGATAAAAATCCACCTGGGTCGAGATTTACTCGAGTAACGTAGCATTTCAAAGCCTGCAGAATTGACAAAATTGTTGAATGCAGCTTTAACTTTTTGGGTTTAACTATTTTCTGAAGTGTGAATATGAGGTGCGAACAGAATCAGACTTAGCAGTGACACTCTCCACAGTTGAAAATCTCACTGCTCACAAGTGAAGAACAGCCAACAAGGCTAGATACTGAACACCCCTGTGGACCCGTAACCCCAGCTAGACGCCCTTCATTGAGGAAAAGCAATCGTCACAAATATGTCATCATGGCTCAGTTCTGGAGGTTGTATCGAACAATCCATTGTTCGTGTCTACTGTATTTTGTAAATACATGTTTGATCCCTGGCAGTACAGTGGGGGGGGTGTAATTATGGGTGTATGGTCATCGGTGGTCTAGTGGTGAGGTTAATTATGTGTTTGATCCCTGATAGTCTGACGGTAGGGTTAAGTATATATATATATATATGTAATCTTTGGTGGTTTAGTGGTTGGAAAATGTCCTTTCTTGGTGGTCTCACAATGGGTATGGGGTAGTGGGTATGCATCTAACCTACAGTGGTTAACTGGTAGTCCATAGAATACCAAGCCTATGCATCGGTTTCTTGGTGATCTGTTCGTGGGGTTTGAGCATCTCGTTGTCTAGAGAAGGTCATTGACATCAATGCTCTAACTTCTCATTTGAATGTGAACTGTCCAGCTTTAAAGACCATTTCAATTCACAGTTCACATGTACGTACAATCCTCCATGTCAATCAGATGGAGCATTCTCAGGAGAGTAAAGAATGGAAATATTGTTCAACTTGATCCTGTGCAGTTGGAGAAAGGGGCCTCCTGTACTAATAACTCTGGATCTATAACAAAAGCAACAACACATTTGTATAAAGCCTTTCACGTCAGGACGATGTCCCAAGATGCAGGACAGTCAGGATTTGGACCCGAGCTGGGGGTTGGAATCAGGAGGGGTGGAGGCCAGGGAGAATAGTAACCAAAGGTGTGGTCGAAGAGGACGGTCTTGAGATGGGCCTTAAAGGAGGCAACATAGGGAGCGAGGTGAAGGGACTGTTCGATGCAGTTCCAAACAATGGGGGCTGAGAGGTTGAAGGTCTGACCACCGATGGTGAGCGACAAGGAGCAGCCTGGAGCGTGCTAAGTGGAGGGAACGGGCAGGTCTATATGGATTTAGAAGGTCATAAAGTTAGGGAGCACCAAGGCTGTAGAGGGCTTTGAAAGCGATATATATTTCTAAGCACACATCATACAATTGTTTAATCCTACTGCCTCGACCCTTCTCCTGCTCACCAACTGGCAAGAGTTTTCACAACCAGATTATACCACTTTGGATACTAGCAAATTTGGTTTAATTCCCAATAGGAGCAAAAAAAAAGCTACAACTTTGACGAAAAGAAAACTCTCATCAAATCCCTCCCTACCTTCCTAACCCCAACTACAAAAAGGCAATTGAGCATAAATGCCCAAATATCAATCTAGAACTTTAATATACCGAGTTGCATTCCGTAGATAACATTCTCATTGTCGGAGCTTTAATAATTCAATGGAAGAATTAACCATCTCTGTATATATACTTTGTTAACCTTTGGTCTTTATGCACAGAAAGTCTAGACAATTCAGTAGCAAAAGGACCTGTAGAATATTTATTTATTAACCAGCTCGTCAAACAGTTGACAGCAAGTACCATTTGATGATTCCCCCACCCACCGCCCCCTCCATGCTCTTTCTTTGGTCGTTTCTCTCCACTTCCTGCCCGTCAGATTATATATTTTGATATTTAATGTTCTTTTTAAATCTGCAAGATAGCATCAGGCACATGCTTCAAATCCAGGACTATTATATGGTGGCCACAAAGGATTTGCCTCACAGTGTCTGAAAAAAGCAAAACAAAAATAAGTTATTTTGGGTGAAAGAAACCATGCATTTATTTTGGGATAAAACATAGTTCTGAGACAACTGTTCATTTATAGATAACCATGCTCTAGGCAGCATTTATCTCAGTCTGTGACTTGTAGCTCTTTTCTTACCTTTCACCTTTATCACTGTGAACCCGCTAACGTCAGCATCTCAGTTGATCTGTGCTGTCTTTGCTGGTACTCAGTGTGCTGGGGGTGTGCTGCATTGTCAAATGTGCTGTCCTTCAGATAAAAAATATTAAACCGAGATCCAGTCTGCCTGCTTAGGTGGGTGTCAAAGATCCCGTGGCACTAATCGAAAAGAGAAGGGAGGTTCTCCCTGTGTCCTGGCCAACAATTCCGCAAAAATAAAATACAATTGGGCATTTATTCCACTTTACATTATATCTTGTGAAGTGTTTTGACACATCCTACCAACGTGAAAGGCACGGAATTATACATAAGGGTTATTAGTGTTATTCTTATTGACATTTCTGAAGATGAAGAATATGAAATGGTAATGGGGAAAGAGCAGGGAATTGGGATTAGAGGCGTTAACTCCAGTGAATAAACTGGCACCAGTTTTGGCTCTATGGACCAAATAGTCTTTAGTGGGGTAATGTCTGTGATCTTAAGGTTGTTGGGAAGTCAAGTCATCTACTGCCAGATTGCACTAGGAATGGTATTGAATCTTTCACTACAATGGCTTTAGTGTATGGAAGTCACAATTGATAGTGTTTACTTCTTAACACCTTGTAATGGGAAACGGAGACTTGGCTTTCCCTAAGAATGAATCCAACCTTGATTGGCCATAATGAGAAAGGCTTAGGTGAGTGGACAAGCACAAGTCTAGGCCTTCCTCAGACGTGTTGCCTCTGCTGTTCTGAGGATCAGTCAGGGGAAGGTCATTACTCAGTCAATCAGCTGCTTGGATGAGAAGTGACAAAACAGATTGAGGTAACTGGGAGTATAAGCGTTTCTTCTGACCTTAAGACTCCATGGAGGTTTGGAGCAGCTTCTTTACCGTTTACCAGAGCAATCACGGTGGTCTCGATCCATCTGCTGCCACCTTTGATCTTAACGGTCTGGCTGCTTACTCAGTGGCAACATCATCGTGCGATAAATACATGTTTTAAGAAAGAGGTAAGTTTAGGTTGGCAACGCAGAACCTCCATACCTTTTTATCAATGAATGTTTTAGAAAGGCTCATTACTACAGTACATATTGGTTAGTACAAGTAGATCCAGGATTTGATGGTATGATATTTGGCAGGTAAAAAACTTGACCGGTATCAAGCTTTAAGAAGAATGCAAAATTATGTTGCTTATAGTGGAAACATGAGAGGGTATCATGCACCTGAACTGTAATTTGTTGTTGTTGAAATACTTTTAATAGCCTTCCCTTTACACAATGGAGAAACAATGGGTACTATAATCATATAATAATAATTATCCTTGCATTTGATATAGCATCTTATCAAGTCTTCGAGACATCTCAAATTGCTTCACAGAATATAAGTCAATATACTGTAAAGTAAATTGACTGTATATTTTGTGAGTGAAATGCGGCAGCCAATTGCGCACAGCAGTGTCCCACAAACAGTTATGGATTAAATGACCAAATTCTTCTTTTTTTTTGAAGGGATTATTACCCCCAGAAAAGCGATCCACAAATTGACTAACAACCAGGTCCTATTTACTGCTAGGTAAACAGAGGCGTGTGGAGTAAGGAAACTTGCCTAAGGTTTCGCCCTGTCAGTAATCAAACCCAGGTCCTTTCGTTTGCGAGGCGAGTGGTCTAACCTCCCTCCTTCCCTCACTCACTCCCTCAACTGAATTGAGATGATTTTGTGGTCTGGGAAGAGTTAAGAGTGTAAAACGCTACTGAAATAAATACATTGCAAGTCAGCATTTGGGTAAGGTGTGAGCATGCAGCCACCATGGGGATAAAAATTGCAGTATTTCTAAACACATTCTGTTCTTATATTATCGCCAGCGACAATTACTGAACGGATTGCTTTGGTAATGCCACAATTTTGGACCCTGTGCGTGTTCTCTGCACATATTTCCTGCGCTCTTGAAGCTCTGCCTACCTACAGTGCTTGAAAACATGGCAGCTTCATAGAGGCCTTATTGTTGGCCTGGCCCTGATCCAGCTTGTTAACTATTAGAGTAATGGGTAATTGGTAACAATGCTGTGCAGGTATTGCATCCCCTGACAACCATCAGTGGTAGAAACAGCTCACCTTATTAGTAGTCTCATGCCACTAGAGATTTGCAGACGACATCTCCCTTGCCAGGACAAGGTAAGGAGTGTTGGCAGCTCTCCCATTGCCCTGCCACATTGCTGGTTCACATGGAGATATGTATGCAGCTGCTCTTTGTGAACCTAATGAGCCTTTTTCTAACATCAGTAAAGGCGATGTGTGAACCGGAAAACATAAAGAGTCTAAGTACCCTCTCTGTAACGCTTTGTGTGCTATTGGATTGAAAACATCAGCAATCCTGCCCCTCCATTCACTCTCGGAACTCTTTTTTGTCAAATATGGTAGGGAGAAGCGGCAATTTGGGAAAAAAAAAGAAGCAGTTATAGCTTGACAGCTAAAGAAAACGCAGCCCTTTAATTATGTAGATGAGTGATTCACTTCCATCATAATAAACTGCCCTTGTTAATGTAATACTTGTTAATGGGCTGGTGGATAAAGATTCCTGAAGGGGCCCTGACTGAAACAAAATGACTAGCTGCTGGATTGGAAGCATAGCCAAACCTGCCCTATTTTTCCCCCCTCCCCTTCATCAAATCGTGCTTTAATTGACTGATGCTGTCTTTAGGAGTGACTGGAAAAAAGAGTCATCCCTTTTGTCTCCCCGGTAAAATAGCAGGATATTTATGTCCGCTAATTAGAGGACAGAGGAATGAAAACATCTTTGCAAACAAAACAAATGAACCCGGGCACTTACTATAATGCTAAAGTGATGCCGAGTATCTTTAAGTGGTCCCTGACCTGCTGTATAAGACTCTGATGAGTAGCTCATTTTAAAAAAAAATACATTAGAACAAACCTACTGGCACAACAATTATTTTGGCGCAACAATTATTTAGACCATAATGAATGAGAAGGCGTGTGTTTATCGTAGGCTTGAGCTCACCAGAGATTGGCTTTCCATGAGCTTAACCAAGCCCTAACCAGCCAGTTGTTTAGCTGTCATTTTAACCCTTTTACTATAACGCTTTACTCTCCAGACAAGCTTTGTCCCACCTCACGTGAAGGCTGAAAAGCTCATTGGCTGAAAGTTGTCACAGCCAACGAGGAATACATCGTAATACATAGTGCCATTGACACTTGGAACGTACCAAGTGTTCTCTTCCTCGAAGGATGAACCTATTATTTATTGTGCTCCATGTTTGTGATTTTGGGACATCCTCCTGACGTGAAGGCGCAATATAAATGTAATTTTGTATTGTAATTTACATTCAACTGAGAAGGATGTACCAGCAGCAACAATGCCCACACTTCTGAAGCATCTGGGAGAGAGCTGTTTGAGTTTCAGGCTCACATGACTTGCCAATCTCAGTCTGGTTATCTGGGGTGAGGAAAGGTTGGCAAGGAAGGGAGAAATGGTTGGAGGGAAAAGGAAGAGAGGAAAAAAGGGTGATATGAATGAAGGATAAGAGGGTGGAAAGAATGAAGAAAAGTAGGGAAGGAGAAAAGGTTTAAAGAAAAAGAGGGAATTTGAGGGTACGAGAGTTTGGGAATTCACACCTGCTGGAAAGAACCTAAATTATTTTATTTTACAATCCAAGACAGATTTGGGATACTCAGTATCAAAAGATGTGCTTTGATGAATTTTATCCACACGAGAGTTCAAAGGAAATTTCTATATTTAAGAGGGAGGGAGATTTTCTATGGCTATTGATATTTGAAACTACCAAACAGGGTCTTTGCTGCCTCTTTAAGATTAAGTGTAGGTCCAGATGGATGTTAAAGATCTCATGGTGCTATCTGAAAAGGGAATGGAGGTCTGGTCAACAGTCCTCAAAATAAAATTGGTCATTCACTTCATGGCTCCTTTCAAATGGACGTTAAAATCCAAAGGTGCTATCTTGAAGAAGACTAGGGAGTTTCTCTGGGGTCCTGATCAATCTGAATTTGATCCAGATTGATTGATCTCACATTGGTCATCTGATTGCTGCTTGTGGCACATTCCTGGCGGAGATTAGCTGCCACAATCTTACTTCACAGTTACTTCAAAGTAACTCGTTCTGTGAAGTGCTTTGAGACGTTTCGACATGATAAACCACCTTGCCAAATGCAAGTACTTTTACATATGGGTACACATCAAGGACAGAAAAGTGTTAATTGTTTACCTGGTCATATTAGTTAAGCCTTTGAAGACTTCTGCAATTGATCACAGAATCCACATGAAGTCTCTTGTCTTACTGTTGTTTTCATAGTAATGATAATCCTTGCATTTGATATTACTCCATATCACGTCAAGCAACTTTATGTACAAGAATGTACCACAAACAGTCAGTCATGAGGTGAATGGCCAATTTTAACGAGGGAATTGTTGGCCAGGAGACCTGGAGAAACTCCCTTCACTTATCAATGTCACGGGATCTTTAACAGCCCACCTGAACAAGCGATTCTCAGTTCAGCGTCTTTAAACAAATGAATGATGGGACCTCCGACAATGTAACGCTCATTCGCTTGCTCAGCACAGTACTGGAGCGTCAGCCTAAACTGTGGCTGCATGTTTTTCATCTGTTGAAGATTATAAGGAAGAATTACAGACCTGTAGCAAATAGAACTCTTGGAACTGACTGAATACTGTAAATCTTGCTGTGTTTCCTTTGTTGTGGAGTTTATCTGCAGCGTCAGTGCCCGGAGGGTTAAGAGCTCTTCATAATCTAATCACTTTTCATTCAGGAAAATCCAGAAATGCTTTTAATCCTTTGATCTGGGAATCAGAAGATGCTTTAAAGTCTAGCTGGCTGCAAACGGTTATCAATTTTTCTTATAGTAATTAACTATGGATTATGATAAATTAATCACAGTTTTTTAAAAAAAATCTTGTTTCTATTGCATCCAAGATTGTTATTTAATTTTTTTTGTCTCCTTTCCCCCCCGCTACCAATAGCACCCCCAACAGCGCCCTTCCCCCCCCTCCTCCCACCTCACCCCATACCGCAAGCTGTTTTTATCCTTTCAGATTTGAAAACAAATCCTTAACCCATTAGCTCTGATGTTTATTTCCCTTATAAATTAACAGATTGTTAGAGCCATGCTAAAGGTGAAACAGAATACAACT